CCCCCCCCCCCCCCCCGCAACCATCGCCAGACGTCTTTTGCCGAGTGAACCGTGAGAATGTCGTATAGGTAACGAAAAAACAAAAATCAAGAGAAATGAACAGCTGCGAGATGTAAAATTACTTTATTGCTTTTTTACATTAATTAAACGCGTTGAAAGAAGTTAATGAATTAAATTTTATTTTTATTTTTATTTTTAAGCTCCATCGCCGCTAGTTTTGACTCGTAGCCGTCAAGCAAATGTGATACAGATCTTGGTTCATTAGCTTATCAATGATTATCTCACAGCAGAGGATTGGCAATTGATAGTGGGTCAGCTGCAAGAGAGGATCCAGCACCCAGCTCCGGAAAAATCCTCTCGACGTCATTTCGCACAGACGAACCATACAAGCTTCCTTGTGCCTTACGAAAGTCCGTCGAAATCTCCACGGGTCCGCCAAGCCGTAGTAATCCCGATAAGTGAGTTGTTTCGCCGCCGCCGCCGCGGGTCGTGATCGGATCAAGTCGTACAGCGACAGGCTCGGCTTTATCCTGATTGCTTTGGCTTCGCGCGCGAACTCCTCGTCGTCGACCCAATATTTTTTTTCGGGATCTGCCGGCTTCTCGAACAATTCGTGCTTGGCGTAAAATTTCATGATCGTCAGGGCGTCGTCCCGGTTCAGCTCGTATCCTCCACCACCTCCTCCACCTCCTCCACCTCCTCCTGCCTCGAGGATTTCGATGGCGAGCAAAGCTCCGGACGCCATTTCCAATTTCGAACTGGGAGAACAACCGACTATCCGTTCGTAGCGGTCGGGGTAATAGCTCTCGGTGGGATGAACGAAGTCGGACAGATCGGCGCCGCGATCCAAGAGTAAACCGACGCAATTCGGCCTGAGATTCGCCACGGCCCACTGCAGCGGTGTGCGGCCCAAATTGTCTCGAGCGTCGACTCGCACCGTCCGATCGACTTCCTCGTTGATCTTGAAGAATATCTCCAACGATTTGAGGCCGCTGGGACAGCCCTTGCAAGCAACGTGCAGAGGTGTGGATCCTTCGTCATTGGCTATGTTTGGATCGCGCCGCGTCTCAGCAAAAATTCCATCATTTTTATATCGTGCTCTCGCATAGCCAAGTGCAGCGGTGTGTTACCCCAATTGTCCCGGGGGTCGATTCGTATCGGCCGGTCTTTACTGAGCTCGATCAACATCTTCGCCGTGTCGACATTGAGAATCAAGTGCAGAAGCGTCCGTCCATCGTTGTTAGCCGAATTCGGATCCCGCCGTTGCTCAGCAGCAATTCGAGCACTTCGTTGCGACGGGATTTCAGAGCCAAGTGCAGCGGCGATTCACCCGTGTTCGGCAAAAGAAGATTCGGATCCTGTCCGTGATCGAGGAATTTCTTGACGACGTCGACGAGGCCGTGCCTGCAGGCCACGTGAAAATGCGTGTATCCATACTCGTCGCTGTAGTTCACGTCGAATCTGTCGTACATCGTAAAAAGCTGGGGGATCACGAAATTCACGCTCGATAATGGGCTCATGGCCGCATGATGTATCGGTGTGGTGCGACGCACCGCCGACGATGGCTTGCCGCGATCTTCGCCATCTTCGGGCTCGTCTTTGTAGCCGGTCTTGATCAAAAAGTCGACGAGCTGTCTCGGGTCGACGATGCCGTCGATGTGATGGAGCTCGATAGACTCCGCGAGAAGCCAATCGATCTCTTCGCGGCAAAAAATGTCTCGGAGATTCGGGAGCGGGCCCTGCCACTTCTCGAACGAGGAACAAACCCGATCGACAAAATTAAATCTGTTTTGGTAGTTTCGGGCCATATCGCAAACACACGAAGTCGCTTGGAATTAATCGAGATAACTGATTTATCTTTCTCGCGAGAATCACTCGCTACGGTCGACGAGCGATCTTTCTCTTTTGCCGCTAGCGCTTCGGCGACGTAAATGTGTACCAGTAGAGTGAGCCATTTATAGAGAGATTTATAGAGTATGGGATTTATATAATTATTTTCACTTTACCGCTGGCAGATTTACACGATAGTGGTACATTCGCCATCTAGCGGCGGAGGCTGACTTGAATTACGATTGGAATTTCATACCTGTACTCGTATAGCGAAAGGAAAATTTATTATCAATCGGAATGCTTACATTCGAATACCAAATTAAGTCTTGATGGTTAATTGCCTTTTTTTGTAATTCATGTATACAACTGAATCACTACTTACTCGTTAATTTTCAACGATGGCTTACGTAACTAAACCATTCGATGTCTCGTCTTACGTTGAATCCGCATAAAATTTAAGTTTTTTCATTCTTCGATCACCGCGTTGAGAACGCGTACGAGTAAGTAAAAGAGCTGGCTTTGGCTAATGATGGCGCGCGATCGAAACTTCATCTCTGATTGACTGTGTTGCAAATATTGAGCGCATTTCAAATGACCTGAAAATGACAAATCCATTGTTCCGAAAAATTTGGACCGTTTTTCGACCGCTTTAAAAACGGAGCTGCCACTTCAAGTCTTCACCGCTAGATGGCGAGTACCTTTATTTCGGTAAATCTGCTAGTGGCAAAGTAAAGATAGTCGTATAAGTCATTACCCCACAATCGAATTCACGCGTTCCACTGATAGATTGGGTTCTAATTCACAAAAGCTCATGCGTCACATAATGTGTTTTTGCATATTATCAACGCACACTCACACACACCTTTAGATGTGGCTTAGAGAATTTCGAATAAATTTTGTAAACGTTCGCAAGAAGTCACTTGCGCATCAAAAGTGGTGCAGGCAGTTGTGGGATTATATAGGAACTGGTGTCGTTTCAGAAATGGCCAAGCGCGCCATTATAAACCCACGGCTCGAATTAATTTTCGAATAAAAATTCAACGCGCGCTCAAAATTACGGAAAATTTAATAAAAAATTTTCGGAACTTGAGCGAAATAATGAAAATAAAAAAAAAATTGCTCTCTCGACATTTTCCACGTACATACATCGAGCTTTTTTATACTACACTCGGAAAGAGAAGCTTAGTGTAGTATAGTATAGGTAGTAGCTAGAGCCCGCGCGCGCCGAATACGAGAAAAAGGAGCTGCTGCTGCTGCCTCGGGAAGAATCGCGCGACACAATCCACGGCGCTCTATGTATAGCTCTCCTTTCACCCGGGGAGCTGCTTCATGGATTCTTTCTCTCTCTCTCTCTCTCTCTCAGTGCTGAAAACTCGAAGCTACTTTTCTCGCGAATATATAAGTATGTATAGTACGGTGTATAGCCTATATACTACTACGCACTCACCCACGCACACGAATGCGCCGCGCGCGCGGGTCTATATATAAAGCACAATGCGGGGCGAAAAAAACGCGAATATGTAAAACGTGCTTTCACATCGCTCGCTTCGCGCACGACGCAAAAAAAAGGAGAAAAACTGGTATATAGCAGCAACAGCAACAGCAGCAGCAGCAGCACTGTGTCGAGTTTCCCTTTTTTATTCTCTCTTCTTTACCTTTTTTTTTTGCTTTCTTCTTCTTCCGCCCTGGGCTTTTACCCTCTCCTCTCTCTCTTATATTTCCCATTTCCTTCTTCTCTCTCTCTCTCTCGAGCTGTGTGTGCTGCACACGCCTCCTCTATGCAGCCTTGTGTTGTTGTTGTTGTTCGTTGTTCGATGGCGAAGCTTTCGATACTTGAACTGCTGCGCATACATACATACATACATATACGCGCCGCACACAGAGGCTAATACTTTGTAATGTTGCATATTATTGGAATTGAATGACGCGCGTCTATGCGTGCTTGGAGTATGAATTTTAAATTTTGCCCTCCCACGCTCACACACACACACACACACACGTGGAGAGCGAAAAGCTCCGCTTTGTACGTGGCTCCATATGTTTGATTTTTTTTTTTTTGCTTCCATTGAGACACGCGAATCGACGTATTATATAAAATATATAAATTCGTACAATGAGGGCGAGGCGAGTTCAATTTTCAGTCATTTTTATTTTTTTATCCTCAAAACTATATTGTTATGAAACTCGCGATTTTTTTGTCGATTCTTTTTTTATTATCGTGCATATTGTACAGTTGTAATTTCGTAATAATATCTCGGATAAAAGCTCGCTGTACATGGAGAAGGTGAACGGGATATAATAATGCTGCAACTGGGGCATCGCGACTTACAAGGTGGAAAATAGGATCTGTGA